AATTTTGAACAGGGCTCTTTATCCTTTCCTGAGGTAATGCATTATCTGTTGATCTTGAAAAACTGCCCGGTGTCTGCTATCTCCTTCTCTAATATATTTTCTTGCAACTTATTACGCCAGTATCTCTGAGTGTGGTTTTATTATAATTAGTAAGATCATTATTAAATAATAAAATGTAAGTAGATTACAAGAGCCAGAGCAGGAACAAAATTAGGGCATGGAGATGAGCGGTGGAGTGGGATCCCCGTGGCAGTGGCACATCTGCTCTGCTCTCCTGGCAGGCCTCCATTCTCCCAGCCCAGACTCAGCCTTCCCAGACACCAGCTTCCAGGTGTGCTAGTGACGTTGGTGATCTCAGGAGTGTGCATCTCGTAATAACGGGGTCATCCACTCGACGGTGTCTTCGAAACAGTACTTCCCAAAGCGTGGGCTCCAATCCACATGCATCGGAATCCCCCAGCATGCTTGTTAAAAACGCATATGTTTAAGTTCCATTCCCGAGCTGCTGAATCAGAAAGGCTGGAGGTGGGCTTGAGGGATTTGAATGCTAAAAAACACATTGAAATTTGAGAATCACTGCCTTAAAGTAAAGTGTGAGGGAGAAAAAAGGAGGAAAATATTTTTTGGCACTAAGTACCTAAGAAGGGAGGAGGGGCTGAATCCTGAGTGACATAAAGGGAAGCAGACAAGCTAAAGATACAGCTTGCCTAGTTCACAGCTTTCCTTGGGTTTACCTCGGTTCTGACTGCTATAGATTTAAGCCAGACTCAAGAGTGCTCTAAAAACATGTGCTGTAGATGCTAGCGTTTGTGTTACGAACCTCAAAAATGAGCCTGCTTCTAGGCTAATGCATTCTGCCAGGCACTAGGGACGCCAAAGATGAAGTTTGTAGCTTCCTAGAAGAGCCAGGCAGGTAAACTAAGAGTGAAAATACTATATGGTCCACAATGAGATACCACTTCACACCCACTAGGATGGTTACAATCAAGAAGACAGACAGGAATGAGTGTTGGTAAGGATGTGGAGAAATTGGAACCTCTTACACTGCTGGCAAGGTAAATTGCTGGAATGTGAAATGACGCACTGCTTTGGAAAACATTTTGGCAGTTGTTAAAAAGTTAAACATAGAGTTACTATGTGACCCAACAATTCTACTCATAGGTATACACTTGAAAGAATTGAAAACATATGTTCACACAAATGCTTGTATACAAATATTCATAGCAGCATTGTTTGTAAAGGCCAAAAAGTGGGAACAATTAAAATTTCCGTCACCTGAAGAATAGATAAACCAATGTGGTCTATTCATACAATGGAATATTACTTAGCAATAAAAGGGATGAAGGATTGATACATGCTACAATGCGGAAGAACCTTGAAAACATTTTGCCGAGTGAAATAAGCCAGATACAAAATGACATATATTATCCATTTGTATGAAATTTCCAAAATAGGCAAATCCATCGAGATAGAAATTAGATTAGTGGTTGGAAAGGATGGGAGGAAGGAGGCAATGACGAGTGACTGCTAATGGGTATAGGGCTTCTTTTTGGGGTGATGAAGATATTCTGAAACTAGAGAGTGGTGATGGTTGCAAAGATCTGTGAATAAACTAAAAACTACTGAATTGTACACTTTAAGAGTGAATTGTGTGATGTATGAATTATATATCAGTTTTTTAAAGTGATAGAAGAAATGGCCAAGAAAAAAGTAAGAAATTTGACTACATAAAAAAATACTTTGTGGTTGTCTATAGGAAAAACTCACTTCTATTTTCTTCTATTCATGCACACAACATTTCTGACACCATATGTGTGGGTTTTCTACACATCAAGCAATTCTATAACACCAATGGGGTGTCCTACAATTCAGTCCAGTTCTGAAACTATCTACCTGCTGTTAGCATCAGATCTCATAGGTTAGGGGCTCAGTCCAGCAAAACTGCCCACCCCCCACTTCAGACACCAATTGCAAGGCCAGGTTGTCACCTATGCTTCTCACCAACTGGCTATAAATTGAAGTTTTCTGTGACCCCCTCCTCAGGTTCAATTAATTTGCCAGAACAGCTCACAGAACTCAGGAAAACAGTATTACTGGCTTACTTTAAGAGGATATAACTCGGGAACAGCCACACTGAAGAGATGCACAGAGTGAGGTCTAGAAGGGTCCCGAGCACAGGAGCTTCTGTCCCTGTGGAGCTGAGGTGCACCATCCTCTGGGCACGTGGTTGTGTTGACCAGTTCAGAAGTTCTCTAAACCTTGTACTTTGGGGATTTTTGTGTAGGCATGATCAATCATTAATGATGTGGATTAAGGCTGCCCCAGCTAGAGAAGCCCAAGGTGACCTGGCCTACATGCCAAACTATATGACCCAGTGGACTTTTTTTATGGTATGAATTAGGGCTGCCCCAGAGAGAGAAGCCCAGGGCATCCTCACCTACATGCCAATCTATATGGCCAGATTTGTATCTAAAGTTATATGACCGCACAATAACCAGACCCCATCTGCACTGAAATCATATAATGACTTTTTACATCATCTTTTCTTTTTTCTAGTAAAAATAAGTCACGTACCCATGCCTTATAAAATTATCCCTAACCCTCAACTCAGGGCAGCAGCAGGAGCTCTGACTGCCTGTGGGTCCTGTCCCCACGCACCAGCTCTGCCTGCCCATGGGTCCTGTCCCCATGCCAGCGGGGGCAGCAGCAGCTGCTCTGCCTGCCCATGGGTCCTGTCCCCGTGCTATTCCACACTACTCTCTAAATAAAAAGAGCACTACTGCCAGATCTTGAGAGTCCAAGAAATCTTTCTTTCAACCCCTCGGCTCACCGACCCCGCATCAATTAACTCAATATCCACCTCCTGTCCCCTTCCCGGAGGATAGGGTGTGGAGCTGAAAGTTCCAAGCTTCTAATCCTGGCTTGGTCTTTCTGGTGACCAGCTTCCATTCTAAAGCTATCCAGGAGCCCACCAAGAGTCTCCTCAAATTTTGTACCCCAATTTTTTTTTTAAAACTGGAAAAAAAACCCCACCATTTTTGAAACAAATGAAGATGTTCAAACACTGTGGATATCGAATAATTTTAAATAATTATTAATTTCATTAACTGTGATAATGGTAATGTGTTGATGTTAAAAAGAGGAGGCTTTATCTCTTAAAGATATATATGGATTGAACTATTTACAGAAAAAATGATATTGTCTTTAGTGTTTACTTTAAAATAATCAAGTAAGACTGTGTGTGTGAAATAGAAGGTATAAATGAATAAAGTGGTACATTTGTTAATAATTATCAAAGCTGGATGATGAGTACATGAAGATTCATTATACCTTTCTCATTACTTTGGGGTAAATCTGAAAATTCCCAGAACTACTGAAGGCCTTTTCAGAGGAGAACACCAAGATGAAACTGGCATTGGAGCGGGCATACCCTGGGGATTAGAAGAGTGGATAAGGTGCTGTCAATGAGGGTCACTGTGAGAAAGGACTGGACTATGAGAATGTCATTGGGGCTGGAAGGGAGGCTCTGGGTGTGGAGAGTGTGAAGGAGAGAGAATTATCAGAGTTGACGACCTGTTGACTGAGGAAGATACAGAAGCGGGAGTCAAGGATGACTCTCAAGTTTGAGGCGTGATGAATGGCTACCTGGTGAAGCCGTTCGACAAGCAAAGGAATTCAGAAGAAATTCAAGTCAGGGGTGAAGGGAGTGATAGGTTCCATCGCAGACAGGTTGAGTTTAGGTGCCTGTGGATCATCCGGAGCTGTAGAAAGAGATCTGCACCAGAGATAGGGTTTCGGCAATTTTCAGCTGGAGCATAATTTCCATGGAAACTTGTAGAGTGTGGGCATGAAAAAATGCTCCCTTCCTGAGCAAGCACTTCTTATCAAATTAGTAAATTACTTTGGACTGTGTTAACATTAAAAAAGCAAAGTGGCTTAATCAAGGAGAATAATATAAGAGAACCAAATGGTAACGTGTGCTATCCATGCTATTCTGTTTCCTCTCAGCTTCTGTTTTGAACATGTGATGGATCTCCAGAGTTCAACTGCAAGAATTTCTTGTTCATTTCTTCCCCTAATAAGAGAGTTTTCAAAAGAACAATAAGGCTTTAATTCATTGGCGGGGGTGGGAGGGAATCTCATATGAAAGGTCAAATTTTACTTTTTCTTTTTTTTACCTTTCTTTTTTCTATTTTGCTCTTTGCATGTTGTCTATGGTATTATAAAAACTGAAGGAAAGCACCAAAACCATCTAGATCCACGGCCACAGTTCAATCTCCTGTCTTTAAAACAGTCATGATAGTATTAAATCCTTGGGTTGACATGTATATTCAGAAGGAGCCATGGAGCTGCTGCTATAAAAAAGCATTTTGTGGCGGCTTGATGTAGGCCTTGGAGCAGGACAAAGAGAGGATTCCTCAGCCCCAACGGACCTGTGGCTGGAGGAGCATCAGGCCGTCTGCTAGGCTTTCATAAAACATGGCAAGAGCATTTTGGTTTGAAGCACAGAATGTTTCTCTAAACTGAAATTAAAGTTTGTCAGCAATTGAGGCGTTTGTAGGTCTTTTTCTCTTCTTTTTAAGATATTTTTATCTTTAGTGTTTTGATTCAAATAAGAAGAGAAGCACATCAGTGTCTTTCTTTTTCTGTTCTGGCCTTATTCTCAAAATCTTGTGTTGACTGCCCAGTCCAAACTCCTCAGCCTGCCTTGAAGCCTCCGTAACTTGGCTTTCCCAAGACCACTTCAATCAGAATTTCGGTGGGCTGGACCCAGGCGTCAGTTTTTAAAAATCTCCCCTGGTGATTTCAGCGTGTGATCAAGATTGAGACCCACTGTGCTTACAACATAAATGAGGAAAAGACAGCTGGGGCCTTCGGATTATCTATGGTCAGAAGCAAATGTGAGAAATTCAAGTTTTTCAGAGCTTCAGATGGCAGCTGTGATGTCTGTGCGTGTGCATGTGTGATTTGCATTACTTCTCTCTCTGTCCTGCTCACAGGTCATCGCCGTGCGGGTGTATGTGAACAGCTCCTCGGAGAACCTCGATTACCCAGTCCTCGTTGTGGTTCGCCAACAGAAAGAGGTGCTGTCCTGGCAGGTTCCTCTGCTCTTCCAAGGACTGTAAGTGGATCTTTCCCAGACAACTTCACTACATTTGGCTTCTTTCAATGTCCTAGACCTTAATTGTTTTTTTCCCTAGTGAGAGATCAGACATTTGAAATGTTGACATATTATGCATGCTAGGTGCAAACAGTGGTCATGGTGCATACCCTGACTGTTCAGCTCTGTTTAATTTCCATCCTCTTGGAAGTTCAGATAAGCACTCTGCCTAGATTTGTAACACCTGGAAGAACTTCTAGCATTTTAATTCTATCCAGAACGTTCTGTAGCTCTAGGTCGGTTAGTGGAGCATCCACTGAGGACAAGACTAGGCCCAGCAGTCCACTTAAACGAGCAACACCTCCGCTATACTTCAAAATGCCTACCGAGTGTGCGTTCTTCATTTCATAATATTTATTGAGCACTACTAAGTGCTAGATACTAGGGAACCGCAATGGGAAGAAAAAAAAACCATCAAAGTCCCTGCCCTCAGGGAGTTTCTATTGTCGCAGGGAGTACTCTATAAGGCACTGTAGCACTGATAACAAAAGCCCAGGAGGCCTTCAGGCGTGGGCACATCATCTGGTGCTAAATCATTTTTAGAGGTTGAGGAATTTAGGGATTGAAATACTGACTCTGATAGCCTTGACTTGGACTCTGGGACTTTTTATGTCCCATTTAACAGAAGCTTAAAGCGTGGAAAAATGGAATCAACTGGTTGTTTTATCAAGACAGTTTCCCCTTCAAAATCTGATATTTTTTCCTCATTGAATTAGGCGGATGGTTTAGTGTAATGTAGACATGGCTGAGTGAACTGGCCAGCCCTGAACAGTCCTCACATCCCTGTTATTATGTCACACAACCCTATGCTAAAAACACTAGCTCTGAAATCACTATCAATAGGTCCAGTCTGAAATTCAAAACTGAAATTTTTAAGGACTTGAAATCAAGTTCGGGGAGAGGTGAAATGAGACAGGCTGCCTTCCCTGCCGGTTCACTGAATCTCGTTCTTGTTCTTGCTGGGTTTCCCCTCCATTGACTGCTACAGGTATCAGAGGAGATACAACTACCAGGAAGTGAGCCGCACCTTATGTCCCTCAGAAGCCACCAACGAAACAGGACCGCTGGAGCAGCTGATGTTTGTAGAGGTAGCCTCCATGGCACCCCTGGGTGCCCACTACAAACTGCTGGTTACCGAGATCAAGCACTTCCAGCTGCAGTAAGCAGGACTCCTTGTGGCCCTTCTCTGTTCATCTGCTCTTCCTGTGCTGTGCATGCTCCACCCAGCTTCCCCCTTCCAGATCGTCACTCAGGAAGGAGATTATCCGCTTGGCTTATTATCTCAGCACCTTCTGAACTCTCCTGCTGGCAGCAGGGCCTTATATTTTCTGTGCCACAGAAAGGTGGAAGTGCAGAGTGGAAGTGCTGTGACCTCACCAGTGTATCTGTTCCGGGGGTCTCTGGGAGGGCCCTGTCCTGCCTGTAGTCCAGACCAGAGGCACTGGCGACTGCGTTCTTTTGTATTACTCACCAGTGCCACTCTCCTGAAGGAAGTTTTGTTTTTGTTTGAAGGAAAACCTGAAGCTGTTTTTCCTATCCTTGTTGCTCTTCCAGTTTTCTCCTTCCAGGTTAGGAATGTAGCAAGGTAGAAAATAATATGTAATGCAGCTTTGTCCTTTGCAAGAACTAATGACCATTTCCTCCTCCTCCTTGCACGACCATCCTTTGAAGCCAAATCAGTTGGGATATATCATCTCAAATTGTTTATATCAGACCTGGAGTATAATAAGTGCAGTTGGGGGCATTGTCTCCAAGGGATCTGCTCTCTCCCAGAGGTTACTCTTATAAAATATTGTGTAAATCTGTGTGAAAGTTTAAGCAGAAATCCTAAAGTTATTCCTTACTAAGACCATAAACTTCTGTTTTACCCTACTCTAAACTCAAGGCTTCTCAAGGGTTCAAACCATTTCCTCTCTTCACAGTGTTTTAAATAAATTTTAAAAGAAAATATTGTTAAGTTTGTTACATTAGAATTAGAAATTGTACCTATCAGATGGCATCATTAAGAGAACAAAAAGACAAGCCATAGACTAGGAGAATATATTTCCAACACACATAACTGACAAAGGGCTCATATGCAGAATATATAAAGAACTCCTACAAATCAATAAGAAACACAGGCAAGTTCTTGACTACTATTCCCACTATCACCCACCCTTCTGTGGGCTCTGGCTTCTTATGGGCAAGAATCTTGGAGCCTGTGAGTCTGGGCACTGCTCAGGGTGGGGACTGGTACACAGGTGTGTACGAGTCTGTGTGCCAACAGATCCAGACTCAGCTTCACTAGAGCAAATATGTTTTCTGAGGCAAAAAGTGAGGAAATCTCAGGAGCAGAAACTATACTTGAGAAAACATCCTGTGACCTGGACTTCTCTCCAGAACTTTGAGACAGAGACAGAAGAGTCTCAGAAGGGGAATCCGTGTTTATATTTACCCAATGAAATGGGTAAATATATCCAATAAATGGACTCAGATATGCCAAGTAAAAGACTAAGAATGTCAAATGGGATTTAGAAAAAAGAAAACTAAATATATGTTGCTTACAAGAGTATAACCTTAAATAAAAGAACATATAAATGTTGTAAATAAAAAGATAGTAAAAGAAATACCATACCGTCACTAACCAAAAGAAAGTTGGTATAGTATATCAATATTATACAAGATAGTTCTGAGTGCAAGAAGCATTATTAGAGATAGAGGATATTTCATATTTCTTAAAGAATCATTTGCTACCAAGACACAAATTTAAACTCTAAATTTGTATGCACTTAGTATCATCACTTCAAAATATACAAAGCAAGAATTGCAGAATGAAAAGGACAACAGGACAAATCCACAACATTTGTGGGTGACTTCTCTATAGCTGAAAGAATAAGAATAAGAACAAGAACAAAAATTTTAAATACATATGCTGTATACAGTAAATAAGTAGAACAGGCATTGACAAACTACGGCTCATAGGGTGGCCACTGTTTTAGGTAAATAAAGTTTTTTGGAACACAGCCCTGTCCGTTCATTTACATGTTGTCTATGGCAGCTTTCGTGCTACAGTGGCAAAGTTGAGAAGTTGAGACAGAGACATTATGGCCTGCAAGCCTAAAATATTTACTGTCTGGCCCTTTAAGAAAAAGTTGGCCAACACCTGATATGAAAGAGCAGATCAACATTATTAACAAACTTGAACTAATTAATATATTTAGAAAACTGCATCTCAAAATTGATAGAATGCCTAATCTTTCCAAGTTCATGTGCAGCATTTACCAAAATTGCCAAACTCTAATGCATATCTCGATAAATTTCCAAGGACTGAAATGCTGTATATGGACTTCAGATAGAAATCAACTTCAAAATGATATCTAGAAAATCCCCAAATGTTTGGAAATTAAGTAGTCTACTTCTAAATAAATATGAGTCAAAGAAGAAATCCAAGGAAAATAATTAGAAAATATTTTGAACAAATGATATGGAAATATGACATATCCAAACTTCTGGGATGCAACTAAAGCACCGCTTAGAGGAAAATGTATAGCTTTAAACGGATATATTGGAAAAGAAAAATGGCTGCAAATCAGTGTGTTAAGCATTCATTTTAAGAAGTTAGAAAAAGAAATGAAAATAAAACTCAAGGAAAGTAAAAGAAATTAAAATAGCACAAAGCAATGAAATAGAAAACAAATCAACAATGGACAAAATGAACCAAACCACAAGTCAATTATTCGAAATGACTAGTATTATTTTTACTCTTGTTTTTTAAAAAATGAAAAAGACAGGCAAGCCCATTAAAAAAAAATAGGCAAGGGGGCCGGCCCTGTGGCCGAGTGGTTAAGTTCACGTGCTCTGCTTTAGCGGCCCAGGGATTTGCCGGTTTGGATCCTGGGCACAGACATGGCACTGCTCATCAGGCCATGCTGAGACGGTGTCCCACATAGCACAACCAGAGTCACTCACAACTAGAATATACAACTATGTACTGGGGGGCTTTGGGGAGAAGAAGAAGAAGGAAAAAAAAGAAGATTGGCAACAGATCTTAGCTCAGATGTCAATCTTTAAAAAAAAAAAATAGGCAAGAGGCTTGAACAGACACTTCACCAAAGAAGCTATTCAAATGCTCCCAAAACACAACCTCCTTCTCTATCATAAATGCAGATTAAAATGATGATGAGATTCCACTATAACTACCAAATTGTTGTAATTTGAAAGGACTGACAATGAATGCAGTTCCACTGCTAGCTGTATACCCAACACCTACATATGTAATTGTAGTATTCATTCAATGGAATACTACACAACAGTAAAAATGGACAAACTGTTACTACACCTAACAACATAGATAAATCTCACAAACACAATGTTGAGCAACAGAAGCCAGACAAAAAGTGCACATACTGTTTGATTCCATTTATATAAAGTTTAAAAACAGGCAGAACTATTCGATAATGTTAAAAGTCAGGAAAATGGTATCTTTGGGGAGAAAAGGGAAAATACATAGTTATGTTTACCTGGTGAGAATTCATTTGGATGTATACTTATGACTTGTGCACTTTTCTGTATGTTTGTTATATTCCAATGAAAAGATTAATTTTTTAAAAGGCAGAATATGTATTTAAAAATAGTATATATTACTTTTTTACAGCTTATTTTTCTGATCAGAATGTTCTGTTCTATTATAAAGCTCCCCTTAAATTTTCTAAGGCAGTTTGTAAAGAAGTCTGTAGCCAATGGAATTACTAATAGGAATCAAATATTTGTCTTGGTCTTCTCAATACCCCTTGACAGTGCTATACTCATAGAGACAGATGGACAGATACATGAATGAATGGAATGAAGGATGGAGAAGTAGTCACAGCATTGTTTTTCCAAGTTCCTCCATTAATTTTGTTGTAGAAAAAGGTGACATGATAATTTCAAGAACAAAGAATGACACTCCTCCCCACCACACACACACAAAAAAAAGGCAGGAAAAAATTCTCTGGTGGATAAGATCCCCCCAGATCAATTAAGCGAGAGTCCTAGGAGGAAGATTTGAGCATTAGTGTATATTTTCTAGAGTTTCCTAGACGATTCTAACGTGTAGCCGGAGTTAAGAACCACTACACTTAAGCAATTTCTAAATATGGTGCTTACGTTTGTTTTAACAGTTAAATCTATTTATGACGTTAAGCAATATGGGAATTCATGGTTATACCTTTGAAGGAGGCGGCAGCACATTATTTGAACAGGGTGCGGTTTGAACTTTGGAGAAGCCTTGCCTTCACTGTTTGGTTTCTGTGTCTTTGACCTGTCACTGTCACTTGGTGACAGTGTACTTAAATTCTAGGGCCATTTTCTGTGAGGCTAATTAGACCCTTTGGAGAAATGAATTCTGTGAAACTGAAGTCATAAGGTCACAACTCTGTGTAAGTGTTAATGAATGATGTGTGTGCTGGGGAAACTGCAAATCTGTTCCCTCACATTGTTTTCTGTTTCCACCCCTTACAATGTGACCTGACCTCAGCAACCAGACATCCAGATCATTTCAATGCACGCAGATACCAGGGCTTTTATGAGAATAAGATAAGCCTGAGAAGCGATGGTAACTGAGATATATGTGTCTCTTCCTCCCTGGCTCTGGGTTGTCCCACACCAGCCTTGCTGGTGACCCAGAAATCCAGAGGATGATGGTAATGAGTAGGAGCTGAGAATGGTGGTAAGATCGGGACTCTAGGTATTGAGAGAAACACTGAAGAATTAACTCAGAATTCCTAACATTGTAGTTTCTGTTGTATGTTTTTGAGTGGCACATTAGAAGATACATGAAATATGTTCTAGGAATTTTTTTTCCAGAATCATAAATTTTAGGAATGGAAAGATCTTTGGAAATTGAATCCATTCACCTCATTTTTACAGATGAGAAAACTGATGCTCAGAGAGCTCAAGTAATTTATCCAAACTCACAGAGCTAGGAGAGGATAAAATCAAGACTAGATTCTACTTCTGACTCCCAATTCTGAGCTCTTCCCACTATAACATGCTATTCCTACTTTCTGTTTAAAAATGTCCTCCCAATTTTTATTTTGTCCCAAAATATGTTTCTCAATTCCAGGAAGCATTTATTTCTTTAAATTTAGCTTTAAAAATAAAATTCTGCCCTAAAGCATTGCTCACTGCCATCTAACTCTC